ATGGTGTTTGAAGGAAATTAAAGGATAGTCAAAAGTATAAGCTTAAATTCGGCAGAAGGTAACATACTGCCTACCAAAGTAACAAGAGTAACATGATAGGAAACCAAATGTATGGATGAACCTACTCTTTGCTAATTTTGTGCTGAGAAGAAAGCCATTGCCTTGTACTAGAGAGGTTTAGATCACCACTTGGAACAGGATTTAGGAACAGCTGTTTCTCCATAGGGCAAGGCTTCATTTCCATAGAGCAAGAGAGGGCATAAATTGCAGCTAGCACCAAACTCCAGTACAAAGTGAGAGCCAAGAAGTAGAATCTGCTGAGCAGAATTCTGATTCTCTGACCACACTAAGCAGTTCCTGCTCCTTAAAGAAAAGTTTCCTGAGCAGTAGAAGCCAAAAGCATAAAGGCACTGACTCTATGGCCTCTGCAAAAAGACTGGAAGGGCATCAGTTCCTACCAACACCCTAAATGCATTCTGAATGAACTCTTCTCAAATTGTGTTAGTCATGAAGACATTTCATATATAAAACAATATGGTGGGAGAACTGAAATACTCATATAAACTACTGTAATTTACCGCAAAACAGCTTAGGACTATCTAATGATACATCAGTTCTTGAACTGTATTTTGCAGATTCCCCTCTCCTGACACTTCACAAATTCTGAGTTTTCCAGTACTCACTGAAGACTTTTTATCCCAGAAACGTAAGCTAGCTATCAACTTAAGAATTTGGTAGGTTGCCTGACTTCTGTAGAATATTAATTGGATATTAGTAGGGTGAACTAGAAGCAAAGAATGTTTCACACTTGAAACAACCTGTTAATTCTTGGTATTGCAAATACCATCAGACAAAAAGCTCTGGATTGTTAAACTGAGAAAAATCCAAACTAAACTAAAAGGTTTCAAGACTACAAAGTATAAAACTTTGAAAGATATGAATCTATGAAACTGCTCTAGTCCTTTGTCTGATCTGCTCATTAATCATCTTATAGGCTTACCAATTAACAGTCCTGAATCATTAAACTCTTAGAAGCTTTTGGGACCACTACCGAAAAGCTGTTTTAAGCCTAATCATTTCTGCAGAAATTTATTGATTTAGTCAAAAGCCAGACTAGAAATAAAATGAAAGTAAGCTTTGTTTTTTAAGTTTAAGGCCTGTTCAACAAACGTCTTTTTGAGATAGCAACAGGACTGTTTACTCATTTCTTCCACCGCTGCAATGCCTTTTAAGTTGGTCTGACAGAGACACCATAATCAAGATTAAAATAATTATTTTTAACCTTATTTGGTTTTCTAAGCATCCATAGCTGCCCAAGCAATTATGCCAAGGTATCTGAGGGAAAAGCAGTAGGACAATGAACAAAAGCTAAGAGCAAAAAAATGAAGCAAGTGGCTGTGCAGCCAATGCACTGGAAAAAACCCAAAGACAAATCCTACTTTTAGGCACTCTATCCTAATGCATAAGTAACAGAATCTTTAAATCACTATAAACAGGAAAAAGTTCCTATATGAAACACTTTTCTTTAAAATCACTATGATTTAGTGTGTAGGGGAATGAGAAAAAAAATCAGCATCAGAGTTATCAAAAGTTGTTACCAATAGTATCATGATTACGAAGACTTCTTTGTGAAGTGATCTGTTCTTCCTTAGAAGTTACTTTTTCTGGCTGTTTATATGGTCCACAGGATTTTGAGGAGTCTGGTACCACATTCTGTAATTAATTTGTGATTTGCATGAGTAATATATTATACTTCATTACAGATAAATTTAAAAGACTACAATCAACACCTATAGTCTACAATACAGGTATTAGATGCCCACATTTGAACCATACAGCAGTAGTGAAATCCCAGAAATAGTTTTGCTTAAAGAATAAAGAATGATTTCTGGTATTACACAGTAAAAAGGTTTTCCTACTAGATAGTTATATTGTTCAAATTCAAGATTGTCCTTTGCTCAACTGACTGGGCAAAACAAACAAACAAAAAAAAGGCAGCTGATTCTTCAATGAAATGAAGAAAATTTTCAAGCTAAAAACCCAACCAGATGTACTGAGTTTGTAGTACTAATGCCAAGATATTGCCAAGTCAGTATCATAGTCAAGATATTTTGCCAACTGAAAAACTAAAACTGAATTAAAATGGTTCAGCAATGCAACACTGCATATCCAAGAAACAATGAAAGCTGTGTAGAAACATGCAGAAATCTGTAACACCAAAAGCAAAATAAACCCAAACCAAACAACAAACCAACCTCACAACAGGCCAGTTTAATGGACAGCAACACTAATTGATGCGTTCACAGGTCTGCATAAAGCCTCTTCACTAACTATTTAAACACTTTAATCAGTATTGTAATATTTTCTTTCAGAAATTTATAAATTTATCAAAAAATACACATACTGTTTTGTTTACTTTGAGAAGTCCTGTCCCAGTTTAGAACTAAAAAATAATTAATTCTCACACCAAAACACTACTGCAGAAGGTCAAAACCAGCAGGACCTAAGAAATAAGAACTAGACACACTTCCCAAGTCTACCAAATGCTTGGAAAAAACCCTTTTTTTCTTCACATGTAAAGCATAACTTCGATATAAGCTGAAAGAAAGAGACAATACTGCATTACTGACTCTCTAACCCTCCCTTCACCACCACCACTACACTGTACCTTCCAGTAGTTTGGCTGACATCTTTGATTAAGCCATTCTGAATACAGTGCAAGTGAATTCTGGGTAGTTAAATCTTCATATGGAAATCCCATTCTTACAGCAAACAGGGAGGCTTGAAAAAACAATAAAACAAAAGGCATTAATTTAGTCGCAGTTTTATGTATTTTAAGATAATGCACTCATGTTTTCTAGAAATCAAGAAATTCTACATCCTTTATGGAGAAGAGAAATATGTCCTCAGGAAGCAGTATCAGCCATTAGACTGACACACAACTGCAGTAGCAAACTCTCCCTTCACCAGCAATATCAAGGTCTTTCAATTCACTACAACTATGCTAATCCAGGTAAGTTTTAGCATTTAAAACTCTGTTAATCAACTTGACACAAGTAACCAGGAAGAAGACTGGCCTGTGCTATGTGTGTCACAGAAATACTTAAATGAGACAAATAGCAGTATCTCTTCCTTTAAAAGCTAGTCTTATGAAATGCAAGTAATGTACCAGCACAACATTTCCACTACCACACTGATACTTGAAGAAAGCAATCCACCAGCTTATATCATATTGCACTTCTTCCTTGCAACTTTACAAGTGCCTGCTTCCTTGTTTCGAAAATAGAGTACATGGCAAGGGAGCAAAAGAAATACCAGCAAAAGTAATGAAAGAATGCTACACTTCTAAGAATTACTTTTATCATTAGGTAAAGGAGGAAAAAAAAAATCAACTGTTCTTTCATCTTTTAGCTGTAGATACCTTTGATGCCACCTAGTAACAGATAACGTTGCTGGGTTCAGATGTTTGAATTTATCTTATCAATCCTTGATAAAAATGTCATTATAATACACAGCTGAACAAGTTTCTCCAGTCCAAGAATTACGAGAAGCCTTCAATTATTTCTGGACAGCTTTTCTATGTTTTTCTTTAAAATTGACACAATTAAAGTCCCTTAGCACTCAGGGGACAAGAAAACTGACAGCTTCGATTAAATAGATATTTTCCCATTCCTAGAACAAACAGGCAGACTTGGTTTTTTTGTAAGGTAAAATTGTGCTTGTACATGTTTGTCAAGAATCCTTTCCTAACTTTTGACACATTGTTTCTATTCTAGGAAGCAGAGTTGGTCATTTTTACTCTCTGAACTTTTCAGTCGGATTATTGGTCTAAGCATTGCAAAGACAAAAAGAGAAAAAGGTCAGGCACACTGTGATTATGAAACTTTCCTACTCATTAGAGGAAAACCAAAAAATTTCTTGCCAAAGAATAACCAAAAGAGTTATTTTTTTCCTCACTTGTAATCATACTGCAGTGAATATCTCTTGCCAGACTGAGTCTACATTGGTTTACATGTCCTTTATTGCTAGTTTCTAAGACTTGCCCTGGAGAATTTAGGCAACAAATGGAGAAAGCAGTTCTTTTAACAGTGCTGTTCAGCCTGACCTTGATCGCTGAGCTGATGGAACAACTAACCCTGCAAAGAATTCCTGACCACATGTAAGACAAGCAGCTGATTAGGAGCAGCAAGTATGGTTTCACAAAAGGGAAGTCATGCTTGATCAGCCTGATAACCTCCTTTGATGACACAACTGGTTCGGTACATGATGGAGGAGCAGTGGTTATTGTCTACCTCGACCTCCATAAGGCTTTGGATATTGTCTTCCATGAAAGAAGTTGATGAAGTATGGACTGGATGAGCAGAGAGTGAGGTGGACTAGAAACTGACTGAAGGGCCAAACTCAGACGCTTGTGATAAGTGGTACAAAGCCTAGTTGAAGCCAGTAACTAGCAGTGCTCCACTGGGATCAACACTGTTTAACATCTCCATATAATGACCTGGAAGATGGGACAGAGTCTATGTACCCTCAGCAAATTTTGCAGATTATACAAAACTGGGAGGAGTGGCTTAAAGACCAAGGGGTTATGCTGGCATCCAAGGTAATACTGACACCCTGGAGAAACGGGCTGATAAAAGCCTCATGTAGTTCAACAAAGAGAAATGTGAAGTTTATGGGGCCACTCAGACATAAAGCAACTTGGCAGGAGAAGACTAGGTTCTGAGGGGCAGCAAGGTGAATGCCAACCAGCAACATGCACTTGTATTCAAGGCAGGTAACAGTGCAGGCTGTACTGGGTCCAGTTCTGGGTTCCCCAGCACAAGAGAGACATGGACATACTGGAGACAGTCCAGCAAAGGGCCACAAAGATGCTTAGGGACTGAAACTTCTTTCCTAAAAGGAAAGGCTGAGATAGCTGGGACTGTTCAGCCTGGAGAAAGCTCAGGGGGTATCTTACCAGTGTATGTAAATATCTCAAGGGAGGATGCAAAGAGCACAGTTATCAGGCTGTTTGCAGTGCTGCTCAGGACCAGAGGCAATGGACACAGACTGCAACACAGGAGATTCCCTCTGAACGTTGGGAAACACTTTTTCACTCTGAAGGTGACAGAGCACTGGCACAGGTTGTGCAGAGAGAGGCTGCAGAGTCTCCATCTCTGGAGATATTCATGGTCCTGAGCAACCAGCTCTAGGTGGCCCTACTTGAGCAAGGGAGCTGAACCAGAAGTCCTCAAGTCCCTTCCAGCATCAGCCATTTTGTGATGCTATAACACATCCTCTTCCTTAAGCTCTCTACTTACCAACTGTTTTAAAATACTTCAATTTCAATTTCTGAGTCAAAGTAAACAGAACTGTCTATTCTAAACAAAGCTGTCATGGCATTCTAACAGATTCTCACACTGTTTTTAACACATGAAACAAAAATGTCTTGTTACTGTCATTAAAATTTTACTCCCATGAACAACATACGGGTCATATGTTTAAAAATTATCACCTCACCAAAATTAAGGCATGTCACAGCTTGCCTCCTCCTGTCTAGTGTTAGCCACTCATAAAGATGAAACTTTAGGAGACAGGCAGACTTTCCCGGATTATATTACTAAGTATAATCAAATAAAAGTGCGGTTTAGTAATTGGCAGAAAAATAAGGAATAACCTCAGCAATTTTGTATCTTGAATAAAAAATGTCTGCAGAGATTACATGCATTTATATGAAGACATTTTACTATTCTAGCTAGCTTTTCTGGTGAAAACAACAATATTTTATTTAGAAAATAAACTGATTTGAAGGTACAAATGTATTTTCTCTTTACCAATCTTCACATGGTGAAGACAACTACAGTCTTTTATCCAAATTCTAATTTCCACAGAAAATACACTTCTTCCCAAGAAATATTCTTCCTCAGTTTCTCTGCTGCTTTGATTAATTCACTAACATTAAACATCATCGCCAATTTTCACTCAGATAAATCTTCAACTTTCCTGTCTTTCTTTTGCCACTACTGCCAGACAGTTCTGATGAAGTTCTCACTGACAGCAAGGACTCAGCATAGCAACCTTGTCCACATGCCTCCATTATGCAAAGAGCTGTCTTCTTAAGTTAGATTGTATTTTTAATCAGCACTTCAATTCTGCTTCTTCACTTTCCTTATCTTTTCTGCTTATTCTACTATCAAAAATCTCTCTGTAACTAGCAGTGACAGTGAAATGAGTTATGACTATTTCTTCCTCCACTATTTAACACCTGACCTATCTCTTTTTCTGCATCACCTGTGAAATCTCTCTTAGCAAAGCCACTTGTAATCATGGTCAACTGCTCAAATCAAATGGAATCTGCAAGTCTATCTCTCTTTTCAGACCTCCTATCAAACAGTGTCATCACCTCCCACGATTGCCCTATTTGACTCCATCAAAAAACTGCTGTTGCACTTATCTCTGTACACATTAATTCCTTATAGAATCCTTATCTTTTCTTATCAATTTCAAAGCGCTTGAATCACCATTAATACTCAGATGTCAATTTCCACACTTATCTCCATGCTCCTTTCTGGGCAGGTACATATATTTTAAAAGTCCTTAACTGTGAGCCAAATAACCTTCTGCTCACTACTCACATAGCTCCTTGGAATGCATGTCTCTTTTTGAAACTGGTATTATTCTACCAGTGACACCTGTATTTAAAAAGTTCACCTAAGCCTTCTGTTTGCTATTGCTTTTTTGTTGTGCCTAGGAGCACGGCCCCAAAGTAATTTTTACATTCAAGTTTTCACTAATCATTTTAAACAATGAAATAAAATAATCATGCTCAATATATACTAAAACAGTAAAATGTAGCTGTAGCACCTATTAATTCTGTAGTTGCTTAGAAAAAGTTACTCCATGGTTTTAAAAGCAACATTTACATCTAACAGCTTCTATAGTGTCTTGTAATAAATCACCCTTGATAATTTGGCTACCAGCGATATTAGCAAAACCTTGGGATTACAAGTTAATATTTACAGTTAAGCAGGTGGCAAGACCATAAAATTGTATTTTTTCTCCCAAGACTAAACCTATTTCATACACACAGAATGAGAGAATAAACACTTCTGAAATATTTGACTAGTTTAATTTGGTTTTCAAGGAATTCTTCCATCTATAAGATTAATACATGGCAATTCAAACAGGAAGTGTTTTAAGATGAGGGAATGACTTGGAAACAATTAAAGGAATCATTACCTGACTCTCCCACTAGTAAGGTATGCTTCGTGTATTCAATGACCTTTCGTGCTACACCAATTGCATTTTTTACACGTCTGAGATCCGCAACTGCCCCAACTTCCATAGTGTTGCTGGAAACAAGAAATATTTAAAACCTTGTTAAAAATGCAAGAATAACTGCACATTTTTTCTTAGACAAAATCTATTCTCATCTAAATCAAAGTGCTTGCTCCTTTAACATAATGCTTTAACTGTTCTATGCCATAACAGCTAGCATAATACACGTGGGAAAAACTTCCTACATATATTGTTCCCTTTCACATGCATGAAGATGTTGCTCAAGTAACAATAACTCCATCCACAGTAGTATTTTCAGAAGAGTAACTATTTTGTTACATAAACTCATAATATGAACTATACATTTACAACTACGTTTTAATCAGGACAGCTTTAAATAGCAGATAGATTATAGAGGACGATTGCTCCAGAAGGGAAATACTTAGGGATTGAATGTAAAGGGAAATGTAAGAATGCTACAAAGCATCTGCTTTGCAACTGCTGTATCTAGAGTCGGGTTATTGGACTACATGTGAAGACTCAGTAATAAACACTCTTACTCACCCCTCCACCAATTAAGTATGTATTTTTCCTAGCTCCAAAAATTAACATGTAACTTATCCCATAGTCAGCCCCAAAGCAACAAGATCCTGTAACAACCCTTAAGTGTTCTAAAAATTACAGGATCATTCTTTTCTCCGTGTAGTTTTCTTACCCATTCATAATCATTGCATCCAGAGTTGTTTCTCCACTTTCATCTGGGCTTCCTCCATATCCCACACTCCCATCACACTGATCAATCTCACACTGACCACAGCCTCTCTCAACAGCATCCAGCTCAGAACCTCCCAACTCTAATACTCTCCAAGCTGTAATCAACACAAATAATTACATGTCACCAGGGAAAACCATCTCTAGTACTGCTTTCAAGAATGTTTTAAAGATGGACATGATGCAGATGTAGCACCTAAATGGATTAAAAAAAGTAAACCATAACTTTTAGATGAAATAAAGTCAAAATATAATCAAAAGAATGTAAAGTATTACTTTTCTAACTATTACTTTTATTGCATATCTGATTAATGTTTCTGTTTGAGAAACAAAGCTTTTCTTCTGAGGTGTTATTTACTAACAATCATCACAATTCCTAGATATCAAATAACCTTCTCTGCCCAGAACCAATCATTACTTTATCACTGCTTGTTTAAAGCTCTCTGGGGGGCTAGGGAGAGGAAATCCAAACTTTTCACCTCAAAAAAACCCCAACAACTCTCCCTCAAAAAAACCCCCCAAAACCCAGCAGTCCTCAATAGTTTCATATCAGAATAGTGTCCAGCTGCAGAATAAAAGATCTAAACCTTACACCACTAACTACGTGAGCAGAAAACCAAAGTGGAAATGATATGGAAGAAATCAGTCTCCACATTCTCCTTGTTCAACACTTAAGTCTTTTATTCTTCAGGATCCACCTAACCATGCTGTTTCGTAAGACATTACAGACATGCCAAATTACATGCCTTGAATACACTGAGCATGAAGGCACTGCACATACGGCATTTCACAATGCTGGACCTCAGGCAAGATTTTCCAAGGTGCCTGAGCTTGCTGCTATGACAGTTGCCATCCTGCTTTCTCCTCCTTGTGCTGGCCCTGGTGCTTCATTATCTGACAGACCCAGCACAGGGGAGGCAGCAGATGCATGCAGCCCAGCTCGTTTTCCAGAAGTAAACCACCGTCTAAACCATTTCAAAAAGCTGCATTCAACTGCATGAAGCTGCCTGTAGCAGGGAAAAAGTAAGACTTAATAACATGCATCCACCTCCACACATGCTTATCTCTATTAAAAGCTTCGGTGTGTGAATGCTGCTCCAATTCCTATTAACTTACTTGGTGTGAGTAGCCGTAACACCAGCTTTCAGGGCCTTGCAGCTTTCATGAGTGTGTTTTGCTTCTGACCTACACAAGGCTTTATAGATAATCCACTTCACAAGAAAGAATTCCATGATAAGGGGTCGTTTACAACTCAACTATGACAAATCAGCAGGTCTTTTAAAACCAATATTCACAACTAATTTATGCTGCCATAGGAAGATCTGCTTTGACTGTCAATAAAACATCACAAAACTAGACAGAGCTTCGAAAAAAGCAGTATTTGTAACTACCTAACTCCTTGGGGGCAAGAAGGAATCTCAGAAGGGCACTTTTAAAAACCACTGCCAACAGCCAGAAGACTGCAAACCACACTTAGCAAAAGTAGGTCCTCCATCTAGCCTTTCTGCAGCCCCTAACCCCCCTCTAGTTTTGGGTTTAAACGCATTTTCCCCAGCGTGTTAAGTTAAACGATGTGCTTGCAGGCCCTCAGGCCACACCAGGACTCAGCAGCAGAGAAGCATCAATGCGAGGACAAGCTCTGGGGTTGGCGCCTTCCCCTCCGCGGGGTCAC